CCTTCAGAAATGTCAACAACACAAACAATCCACTCACCATTTTGGTTTACTCTAACCCCAGCCAGGTCCTGATGTTCCGTCCTTTTCTTAAACTACACCTGTTAGCCCCCTTAGGGCATAACTGAGATGGTTACGGCCAATTGTACATACCTCTATTACTGTTGAGGGTAACTCTTAATGCTTATATTTTTCTGCCGGAACTATAATACTGATAATCTTCATTAACTGGGCGCCTCGTACCCTTCTTCACCTTGCTTCTTTTACTTCTTGAAAGCATTGTCTTTCACCATAAAGGTGGATAAATATTCTTGCCTTAAGGTTCCTTATCAAGAGGCTTACACCTTTCGATACACCCATGATTTGCTAAAGACCTCACCTTTACTTATCATAAGCAAGATGCAAAATCGAGTTCCTCTAAATCAACAATTCCGCAGCTATATCTCTTATCGATCGTCTTTTTGAATGTAGGCATCGTCTTATTACGAACAGAAGTTCGGGACTTGAATTCTTATAAGTGAGCTCTACCACACGATCTAGAGTAAGAAGAAAGAGTGACAATCCTAAATGCCCTGTAGCCTCCTGCTTATAAGTGTGGTGCACGACACACCCATAAACACGACTCTACTAGACACGGCTTGCAGACTCCCTAGGACAGAACTGCTCTGAAACCACTTTTGTGACGACCCAATCCAATGGGCCGCGACGGGCACCCGGTACCTTACTCAACCAAGTACTAACGTAACGTATCTTTCTTATTAAATCATCATATAAACGTGACATACGGGTCTAATAGGCCAACATGATTATTTATAAATTCAAAATATAGGCCGACAGGGCCGTACAATCTTTCACGTACACAACATATGTCTACAAGCCTCTATGATTACATAAATGTCATAAAGGTCGGGACAGAGTCCCTCCATACCAAACAATACACGTCTAAATCATACTAACCAAACAAGCAACTCTGAAGCAAATGGAGCGCACCAACATCTCCCGCTGAGCTGATAGCTTACTGGAGGGCTCTCGACCTGTCTATCGGGACCTGCGGGCATGAAACGCAGCGTCCCCAGGCAAAAGGGACGTCAGTACGAAAAATATACCGAGTATGTAAGGCACATAAATAAGCACATAACAGACATGGAAGAAATATAGAGTAATTGACTAAACCTGTAAGTCTGGATAACTTTGTAAATCATAAATTACTTTTTGCGTCATGCATATGCGTATGAATGTCATGTCGTGCATAGGTACATATTTCATAACATCATCAGCCTCTGAGGGCATCCCATCATATCATATCGGCCATTGTGGGCAAAATCATCGACGTATACCAGCTGATCAGGTGGTGGTGCGTATATAACGCCATATCCTTTCCCATATCCCATATACATATATATATATACATACATATATACGCGTATATAACGCCATCTAGACACGGGTGAATGTACATGAATGCAATGCATGATCAGTACGTTAATAAAATCTTTCAGAATGTCATAAGACCGTTTTGCCTTTGAGTAATATCATAAAGTAAACTCTTTTCAACTTTCGTATTTTTCGGAGACCCATGAACAGATGATAAAATATTACGACACATGGAAATTCAAGAACATAGGTATCTCTAATACTTCTATGAATAGAGTTATTTATGAAATATGTGCATTTGCACGTTTCGTTCGTATTGTATGGATCATGCCAAAAGAAACAAGGGATAACCTTAGCATACCTAGAGTAGGAAATACTCCGTATTATATTCTTGGAGAAGATTGCACCGTACTCCTTTAGAACCGCAAAATTTTACGTTGCTAAGTTCTAATAATTTTCGTTGGAATCGCTTTGTTGCAAGACATTTCTGTTGAAAACATGAAGAATGGCGTTCTGCTTTGTAGTGCTTTGTAATTGTCAATTCACGGCTATTGTTCTGATTGTATGAACTTGGTATGAATTTTGTTGTAAATTCAAGAATTGCCGCCAGAAATGTAACGAAAAGTCTCAGATTAACTTCATGAATTCCCTCACTTTGTTGCTTGTTGTTCCTTTTATTATATTTCCTTGTTATAAAATGAATTGAATAGTCTTGAAAGACAAGATAAAGATGGCTAAGATAATCACTTCTTACGTGTAAAATTCCCTAAGATTTGTTGTCCTGTGCCCACTAGTTGGCTTGTCTAAAGACAAGTCACTTAAGTGTTCCTTCATCTGCTGCCACGTGGGGTGGGATGGGGTTTAATCTTATTCAAATATATCCTAAATTAATTAGGTAATATTCCGTTACCCGATAATTAATTAATTACCCGTAAAATTGAGAATTTTTCCCACTTACTTAAAATATTACTCACTATTCACATATCTTATACACCTTACTATTATGGTCATGTGGTACCTCGTATGATACTAGTCCATAAATACCGGGTATTTTAGCTCGGGCTGTAATTTACCCCAAAATACCAAACTTGGACAAAATTAATTTTCTTTGACTTGCTCCCCCTTTCACCTTGATCAATTTACTAATCGCTTGTGAAATAGCATAATCCTTATAATATACAAATAATCTTTTACATGGACTGATGTCAATTACTTTACGACAAATTTAACGTACAATACTTCAGGGTGCAACATCGTCGTAACTTAATACTGCGAAGCGTGACATCACTGTAATGTAATACTGCTGGGTGCAACACTGTCGTAACTAAATACTGGGAAGCGTAACATCACCGTAATGTAATATTGCAAGGCATAACATCATCGTAATATATTACTGCAGAGCATAACATCGACGTAATACTGCGGGGCGTAACAGTATACTTCCCAATGGTCACTTTGTCTGCCCGGAACTTTGTTTCGTTCTTCACCTTGCCATCCACATTGAGGTTCTCTGGCACCCTACTGCCTGGCACAATCTAGTGACCAGAGATGGGAAGAAGAACGCATACCTCCTCAGTGTTGAACGGATAAACATCTCAGATTGAATAACCTTGGCCACATCAAAATCGTGGCCATTCACGAAGCACCAGAACAAGGCAGCTCTCGAACCATTTACTTCAATTGTGTTGTGGGACGGCAGCAATGTACTATTGATGATGTACAACCAATACTTTTCTTCAAAGGTGAGTGAGGCTGAGTGCAACTTCGATCCCGGCACAACCCACACTACCTCTTTGTCTGGTATAGAGATGGGTCTAAAATATATGTGCCAATTTGTTGGTTCTCGCCGGTAAGTATCATAGTAATCCACCTCCCCAGTGAATACAGGCAGTCGATACGCTCTCCTGATGGCTTCCATCGAGGAATTCACCCTCTTTTGTTGCACAGTGCAGATGTGATCCTCATGTTCAGAGCAATTTGCATAGAATTCCCTAACAAGCATCAAGTTACCCTCCGCCGGCTCTTTGAAGAAGATGTCCAGCCTATGCCTGATCAACTCCCTATACATACTGGGGCACTCAGCCTGGAGGGATCCCATGTAAACTCCCCTTACCGGTATAGGCTTTCTAATAGACTTCAAACTGAAACGATCTTGGGCAGCTCTGGAGACAAACCTGATACGATCAAACGGAGCTGAACTGGCTGGTGCCCGTGCCCGGGACGAGCCTCCATGACTACTTAATGAGGCATCGGTAGTGCGTCTCTTCTTTGAAGATCTCATGGTACCTACACAACAACAACCACTATCAATAGTCAGCGTAATATGTGAACCAAGGGCGGTTACTCAGACTTCACTCGCATAATTGGTCACAATTTGTACTAGAAACTCCTTGTGGCAATTCAACAAACACTTATTCTGCATATGTCCCCCAATGTACCCAAAGATCCAATTAAACTTCCATTCTTCACAAACTCAACGATGTCTCCCCTAACCCGACCAAATCTATTATCCTCACATACCAACATATATATCAACAATCAAAAACAAAGACAAGAGTACCCATAACTTCTACTATCCTACACTTCAAAATAGAAGAGAAAAAAAGAATGAAAAAAAATTGAAAAAAAAACTAAAAAAGAAAGTAGAATCATGTTACTTACTTGAAGATCTTGTGAGGAATGGAGCTTGGGTGGCGGTTGAGTAGACAAGAGGAAGAAGGAGAAGAGGTTTTCTTGAGTTAAAAAATTTGGGGAGAAGAAGGGGATGGGGTGCGGTGTATTTTTGATTTTTTTGGGGAAGGGGGCATTATTTTTGTTTTGGGGAAGGGATGAGAAAAGGGTTTTGTTAGATATACTTGTTAATTGGGGGGGGGGGGGGTAGGGAGGGAGAAATAGGGAGTGGACGGTGAAAAGGGGGGGGGGAATAAGTAAAAAAAAAACTAACTAAAAGGGGAGAAGAGAAAAGAAAAGAAAAGAAACGAAAATATTTTAACTGAACTTGAACAGCGCCGCATCCGCGGTTCAATCCGCAGCCGCAGAAAAAGACCTGTGCAAAATCCGCGGTTGATCGGCGATCAAATACGCGGCCGCGGATTTAGGCATCCAAAATTTTTTTTGCTTTTTCGCACTTTTGACTATCTCCGGGATAATTTTGTCACCCCGAGTCCTTCCACTGCGCATACTTTTGTTCCTGCGCCTTAGTAGATCGGCCAATATTGTCAACATTTAAAAATCAATTACAAAAACAAGAACAAAGAAGAATAATGGGTTGCCTCCCAGGAAGCTCCTAATTTAATATCGCGGCACGACGATTTACAACAAACCATGGGTTGCCTACCAGGAAGCGCCCGATTTAACGTTGCGGCACGACGCGGGCTTTTATTATTATCTTCGCTCGTGTATTGGGGCTCTTCCAAAGATATCATCACTTTATCCCCCTTTTCTTCGACCATTCCAAGGTAATGTTTCAACCTTTTCCCATTCACCATGAACTTATTTGTTCCATCTTTGGATTCGATTTCTATAACTCCACTTGAGAACACTTGCACCACTCTGAAGGGTCCTGACCATTGAGACTTCAATTTACCCGGAAGCAATCTTAGTCTCGAGTTGTATAACAACACTAGATCTTAGGGTTTGAAGTTCTGATCTAGAATAAGTTTATCATGCATCATTTTCATCCTTTCTTTGTACAATCTTGCATTCTCAAATGCATGGAACCTGAATTCCTCGAGTTCATGTAACTTAGTAACTCTACTGGTACATGCGGTCTCCATATCCAAATTTAACTGCCATAGTGCCCAAAGGGCTTTATGCTCAAGCTCCACCGGAAGGTGGCATGCTTTTCCAAACACGAACTTATGTGGTGACATACCGATTGAAGTTTTAAATGCTGTGTGGTATGCCCATAATGCATCATCCAGCTTTTTAGCCCAATCAGTCCTTGTCGCATTCACTGTCTTGGTTAGGACACTTTTGATTTCCCGGTTTGACATTTCAACTTGCCCGCTCGACTGTGGGTGATAAGGTGTGGTCACTTTATGGCGAACTCCATACTTTCCAACAGCCGTGCGAACGCTCTATTGCAAAAAAATGGGTTCCACCATCACTGATTATAGCTCTCGGGGTGCCATAACGTGTGAAGATGTTTTCCTTTAGAAATCTTGTCCGCCCTTTTGCCTCATTGGTTGGGAGAGCCATATCTTCAACCCATTTGGAGACATAGTCAACTGCCACCAGTATGTATTTGTTACCATACGAGCTGACGAATGGCCCCATAAAGTCAATCTCCCACATGTCAAATACCTCCACCTCTTGAATAGTAGCTATCGGCATCTCGTGACGTCGAGATATGTTGCCTGTCCTTTGGCACTCATCGCAACTTTCCCAAGCATGGGCATCCTTGAACAGAGTTGGCCAATACTTATCAAGTACCTAATTGCTGCATGGTCAGTATAAACAATAACTTTTGAACAAATCAAGCACGACCTGAATTTGTCGAATGCAAAAACTACAGCCAACATCTCCTTTTTTGTCATTGTCTAATTGAGTTGTGCGTTGCTTAGTGTTCTGCTTGCATAGTAAATTAGGTGCATCAGCTTGTCATTTTGCTGCCCCAAGACTGCTCCTATAGCATACTCACTTGCGTCGCACATGAGCTCGAATAGTTGCTCCCAGTTGGGTGCAACAGTTATGGGTGCAGTCACCAATCTCTTCTTCAGCTCCTCAAATGCCAACCTGCAATCATTAGAAAACACAAAGGGCTGATCCTTTTCAAGGAGTTTAGATAAAGGGCTAGCGATCTTAGAGAAATCTTTTATGAATCGCCTGTAGAATCGGCATGCCCAAGGAAACTACTCACCGCCTTGACCAAAGTGGGCAGTGGAAAGTTCTCAATCACGTCAACCTTAGCATGGTCGACCTCAATTCCTTTACTGGACACTCGATGCCCCAAGACTATCCCTTCTTGTATCATAAAATGGCACCTTTCCCAATTCAGCACAAAATTTGTCTCCGTACATCTTCTGAGCACTCCTCTTAAATTGTGAGGACAGTCCTCGAATAAATCCCCCACCACGGAGAAATCATCCATAAATACCTCTATAATGTCTTCAACCATGTCCGTGATAATGGATAAAATACACCGCTGGAATGTAGCCAGTGCATTGCAAAGTCCAAAAGGCATTCTCCGAAATGCAAAGATGTCATACGGACAGGTGAAGGATGTTTTCTCTCTGTCTTCAGGGGCTATTGAGATCTGATTGTACCCCGAATATCCATCCAAGAAACAGAAGTGAGATCCCCCGGCCAACCAGTCCAACATTTGGTCAATGAATGGCAAGGGGGAAATGGTCCTTCCGGGTGGCTGTGTTCAATTTTTGATAATCCATGCAAATCCGTCAGCCCGTGACTGTACGAGTCGAGATCAACACGTTATTCTCATTTTGTACGACCGTCATTCCTCCCTTCTTCGTCATACACTGAACGGGGCTGACACAATTGCTGTCTGAGATGGGGAAGATTATACCCGCATCTAACCACTTGATCACTTCCTTCGTCACCACCTCTTTCATATTCGGGTTCATCCTTAGTTGATGTTCTCTGGAAGGTTTGTGCCCTTCTTCCAAGAGAATCTTATGCATACAAACATCTGGGCTGATAGCCTTTACGTCTGCCATGGACCAACCAATAGCAGTCTTACATTCTTGTAAAACCTGTAGGAGTTGCTCTACCTACACAGCTAGCAAACCGAATGACATAATAATAGGTAAAGTAGAATTAGACCCTAAGAAAGCGTACGTGAGGTGATCTGGAAGCGGTTCCAGGTCCAAATATGGTGGCTCCTCTATCGATGGTTTCGGAGGTGGTGTTGTTCTTTCTTCTAAGTGTAGGGGCTCGAACCGGGGTTCCCTTTTCCAGAGCCCTTGACCTTCGAGAGCCATGACCCACTCTACCAACTCCTCACCATCCATATTTTCCAGATTCCTAAAGAAGGCTTCTAACGGATCACTGACATTAATAGTCTCATCCTCCTCTTGTAGTATTACATTCACGGCCTCCACTAGCGAGCAATTTACAAATTCTCTGGGTCTCCTTATAGAGTGTTGAACATTGAATATTTTTTATTCATTGTTCAACCTCATTTTCAATTCTCCAGTCTCACAATCAATCAATGCTCTCCCAGTGGCTAAAAACGGCCTTCCTAGAATGATTGGTATCTCTTCGTCCACTTGACAGTCAATAATGATGAAGTCTGCAGGGAATACAAATTTCCCCACTATAACAAGCACATCATCAAGAATTCATGTCGGTCTTTTGACTGTGCGATCAGCTAGTTGCAGCAACATTGAGGTTGGTTTAGCTCTGCCAATGCCCAATTTCGTATAGATTGCCAAAAGCATCAAGTTTATACTGGCTCCCAAGTCACCCAATGCTTTAGCAAAAACATAACTCCCAATGGTGCATGGGATGGTGAAACTACCTGGATCAGACACCTTTTGAGCCATAGGCCTTGTCACTACCACGCTGCAGGTCTGCGTCAAAGTTATAGTGGATAGGTCCTGCAAGTCAAATTTTTGCGACATCAGGTCCTTCATCGTTTTTGCATACCCTGGCATTTCCCTCAAAGCATCCATTAGTGGAATATTCAATTGAATTTTTCTAAACATTTCTATAAATTTCCTGTATTGATCATCTTTCTTTTGCTTTGCCAACCTCTGAGGGAATGGTGCATGAGTCAACCTCTACCCACTACTTTGTGTCTTTTCTTTGCTGGAAGCTTTTTCTACCACCGCCCACTACTTTGTGTCTTTTCTTTGCTGGAAGCTTTTTCTACCACCTTAACTGGGAGTTGTTTTCCTTCCTTCTCCTTACCCTTGTCAACCTATGCATGTTCAATTATAACCTCGGTGAGCTTTGCTGACTCATATGTCTCTAATGTAACTGGAGTAGTTGGCGTTGTCTCTCTCCTAGATTGAGCAACTTCTTGCTCCCTGTCTAAATCTCTTCCATTTATGAGACTCACTGCCATGAGCTGATTTGGGTTCTGCTCCTTTGGATTAATGTTTGTATCTGTAGGCAATGTTCCTTGTGGGCGATTGTTCAAGGCCATAGATAGCTGTCCCAATTGAGTTTCAATGCCTTTAATTGCTGAATCATGTGCAGCTAACTTCTCCTGCATCTTTCCATTTGTCCCAATGAGTTGTTATGGCATGCCCCTGATTTCGATCATGTTACTGTCTGATGTTGATGAGGTGGTTGGTAGGCCAACTGTTGCTGGTGCTGCTGATTATAGCCCTACTGCCTTTGATAAGGCACGACTTGGTCTTGAGGTCGTGCTCCTCTTGGATTGGGATTGTGTTGTGGCTGGTTTGGTTTGTACTGCTAGTTTGATGTCAGTCCCCATTGCTGCCCACCTTTCCTCTAACCTCCAAAATTATTTACATAATTCATGTCTTCTTTGAAGCCCTGGTTGTCATTCTCTCCACTCCACGAGCACACATATGACTGGTTTATGCAAGGAGTGCATAAGCCTCCATTTGTGGTATCAACAATGTGCACGTGTTTCGTACCCATCCCATCGATGTTCTTTGTCAGCAAGCTCATCTGGGTCATGAGAGTGGCTATGTTTTCTGCATTTGTATGGTTTGGGTCAAGAGCGACAGAATGCACTATTGGAGTGAATGTTGTATCTCTCGTCATCCAGCCTGAATTTTGACACATCTTGTCAAGAAGAATCTTACACTCTATGAATGTTTTGCTCAAGGCACTCCCGACAGAAGCGTCTACATTGTCCTTCAAACCGTTAGCCAAACCCATATAGAATCTCTGTCCCAGCATCTGATCCGGGATGCCATTGTGCGGACACTCACTACTACAAAAAGGACATTTGGCGTCAATTATTTAGCGGCAATAAGTCAATTGCCGCTAATATATTCTATAAGCTAAAATATATGCGGCAAATGACCATTGGCCACTAAAAAATAACCTTATACCGGCAATTAAAATAAATTGCCATTAAAAACAATTAATCGACTAACCGTGCATATATAGGTTTTTCTTTTTTTTTTTTAAACTTTCCCTCCCTGCCAAATTAATCGTTCCCTCCAAATTATTTTGCACAAAAAATAATCGATTGATTCCCTCCAGTTTGCACAAAAAATAATCGATCGATTCCCTCCAATTTGCACAAAAAATAATCGATCGATTCCCTCCAATCAGAAAAAATAGGAAAACCTATTCTGAACGGGATTCAAGTTTCCTTCGTCGAATAGGATAGGAATCTCACATATTGATTTTCCTTCATCGAACAGGATACAATTTCCAGAGTCTACATATAGTTCTGGCGAGTTTTTATCGTTTCATTGAACGAGATAACTATTGTTCTTCTCCAGCTAGAATCGCAGAATCACAAAATCGTACAATCGCCGGCCAGATTAACAGAGTCGAAGGTCTCCGGCCAGCTTCTTCCCCAGATAACTGCTCTTCTTCCTCAGGTATTTTCGTTTTTTCACCCAGCAGAAGCGATTAACAGTGGAGTTAGGATTGTGCTGCTCGATTATGCTCTATCGTCATTGTTAGTATTCTCTGTTTTATCCGTTTCCACTTCTCTTTTCCTGTAGGTTTCAAGATCGTTACAGAATTCAGATTTCAATTTCTTATGTTTGTTAACAAAACAATTTTCTACCAGGTACAAATTCGTGCCGTCAACTGTTGCAATTTGAGCTTTGCGAAAGTACAGTTTTTTCTGCATATGCGAGTCTTTTCTGATATCCGATTGTTGTAAATTGACGTGCGATGATTGTGTTTATTCCTCCTCTGTTCTTGTCCCAACGATTGCATGCTTTTTAGGAAAGAGTTTGCTAATAAGAATATCAATAAATGCAATGTTTGTGGGGCTTCTAGATGGAAAAATGATGCTAGAAAAATTCCAGCCAAGGTCCTAAGGTATTTTCCTTTAAAACAGAGGCTACAGAGATTGTTTATGTCATTAGAAACTTCCAAAGCAATGCGATGGCATCATGAAGAGCACAACAAAGATGGAGTTCTACGACATCCTGCAGATTCTGAAGCTTGGAAAATTTTTGATAATAAATATCTGGAATTTGCTGGAGACCCTCGCAATGTGCGCCTAGGATTAGCTTCTGATGGGTTTAATCCATTTGGCACAATGCGAACTGTTCACAGTGCATGGCCAGTGATTTTAATGCCATATAATCTTCCACCATGGAAGTGCATGAAACAAGAGTTTTTCATTCTATCCTTACTTATTCCTGGACCAAAAGCGCCTGGAAATAATATTGATGTCTTTTTGCAACCTCTAATAGAAGAGTTAAATGAATTATGGGATGTTGGTGCAGAAACATACGTTGCCTCCACTAAGGAGATATTCCAAATGCGAGCAGCTCTCATGTGGACGATAAATGATTTTCCAGCATATGGTACTCTCTCTGGATGGTGAAATTATGGTAGATTTGCATGCCCGTCTTGTAATATAAACACTCGATCTAGAAGGCTCAAACATGGCAGGAAGTTTTGTTATATGGGGCATCGCCGCTTCTTGAAGTCAGGACACAAATATCGGAATGATGCAAAATCATTTGATGGGACTAAAGAAACAAGATCTGCACCTTGTCCAGTAACTGGTTCAGTAGTGCTGAATCAAGTTAAAGATATAAAATTTACTCTTGGTTAGTCAAGTGAAACGGTAAATGGGGTGATGAAAAGCACATGGAAAAAGAGAAGTATTTTTTTTATCTTCCTTATTGGAAATTTAACTTGGTGCGCCATAATCTTGATGTGATGCACATAGAAAAGAACGTGTGTGATAACATAATTATACATTATTGGATCTTGGTAAAAAGTCTAAAGACAACTTAGAGGCTCGATTAGACTTGAAGAGATGAAAATAAGACCAAGCTAATGGCCTCAGTACCGAGCTAGTGGTAGATCATATCTTCCTCCTACTTTTTTCACAATGTCTCCGATGGAAAAGGAGTTATTTTATGAAGTACTACAAAATGTCAAGTTTCCAGATGGTTAAGCGTCTAATATCTCACGTTGCTTTCGCAAACGAAAGATATCTGGGCTAAAAACTCATGATTGTTATGTTTTAATGCAAGAACTTCTTCCTCGTGCCTTGCGGAGATCAGTAGATAAAAGAGTTAGTTCAATTTTAATTGAACTATGCACATTCTTTCGTGTTCTGTGTAGCAAAGAGATAAAACTAGAAGAGTTAAAGTTACTTGAAGAAACAATTCCAGAAACATTGTCTATTATGGAGAAACTCTTCCTCCCAGGATTCTTTAGTGTTATGATACACTTGGTAATTCACTTGGCAATTGAGGCTAAACACGCGGGACCCGTACATTATCGCTGGATGTACCCAATTGAGAGGTAAGAAGAATATCACTGAATCTTTTTCTTATGTCTTTAGTTGTTAAATATTCTAATATCAAACTAATAATATTACTTTGTTCCATAGGTTTTTGGGTACTTTAAAATCATATGTTCGTAATCGTGCATGTCCAGAAGGTTCAATAGCAGAAGCATACATAGCAAATGAGTGTATGGCATTTTGCTCACGATATTTTGAGGGTGGAGATTCATGGTCTTATTGTTCAAGAAAATGCAATGATGAGATTGAGCATGAGACTAGTAAAGAAGAATGTCTTTTTCCTACTGTTGGGGAGTCATACGGTGGAGTAGATGTATTTGAGTTGGATGAGAAAACATGGTTGCAAACACATCGGCATGTGCTTTTCAATTGCGAGTCAGAAGTCGTTGAGAATTATAAAAAGTAAGTGTTATATCTATTATTTAATATATGTATATTACTTATTTGATAACAAAATTGATATATGCGAGTTACGTGAATAGGGAACATATTGCTGAAATCAAAAGAGCACATCGTAAACGTCGTTTGACACAACATCAACTTGACCGTGTTCATTTCGATACATTCCATGAGTGGTTCAAAGAGCAAGTAAGTTGTAGGAGTGTAGGACTAAGTCATTGGTTACATTAATTATTGTCCTTGCACAGATATCCACATTTATAGTTGTATCTTTTATTTGGTTAGGTAAAGGAGTTGGAAGCTACATCTAACATCTTAAAGGATGTTAAAGTCATTGCACGAGGGCCGAGTTACATTGCAAAAAGATTTAGTGCGTTCGATGTAAATAATGGCTATCGATTCCGAACGAAACAAAGTGAGGAGTTCAAGGTGACACAAAATAGTGGTGTTATGGTCGTTTCAAAGACTGAAAGTTATGCAAGCACAAGTGACAATGCTCCAAAATCTGCAAATATCACATATTATGGCAGATTGAATGATATTGTGGAGTTAAACTACTATGAAAAATTTAAGGTTGTCTTATTTAAGTGTGATTGGATTGATGTAACCAAAGGTAGAGGAATTAAGGAAGATGACTTGGGTTTCACACTTGTGAATTTCTCACACCTGACAGACTCTGGCGATCGAGAACGTCATGAGCCCTTTATTTTTGCAGAACAAGCTCAACAAGTAATATTTGTCCAAGATCCTCAAGATCATGAATGGTTTGTCCCTAGGTTAATTAAACCTCGAGACATTTTTAATATGGGGAAGGAAAATAGTGTGCATCTTGAGTCATCA